AGCCCTCCCGCTGATCTATAGGATGAAAACCATTCAGGTAAGCAACTTCGTCACAGCAGGAACCAGGACGGCTAGCATCGACCATACCTCTGAAGCATGCACGGCAGAGGGCATGCCGGTTGCAGGCCATGACCATTGTGGGGCGTTCACCATCACAGTTAAGTGCACATTCGTATATATATCGTCATATATATCGTATATAGTCAAACAGAGCTGCCTGGTAAACCGTAGGCAAAGAGGGAGAAGAGGACAACAAACGAGGGGCTGTGACAAACTGTTTCTGTCGGAGTTCATATTTATATATATAGTCAAACAGAGCTGCCCGGTAAACTGTAGGCAGAGAGGGAGAAGAGGACAACAAACGAGGGGCTGTGGCAAACTGTTTCGTAGGAGTTTCACCGACTCATCAGGAGGCTGAACCCTCAACAGTCTGCAGAATCCCCTAACTGATTACACTGTAAGTGATAATCCACCTTAACCCCGGCTGTGGTTAAGCATCAACGACTGCCCGACAACTGATACCCTGAGGTGGGCACCAACCACTGCCCTCAAGGTACCTGTGGCAAAAGTCAAAGCAGACTATCACTCACCCACACCAGATGGCAAACTCTACAGACTGTATATATATAGTATATACATATTATACATATATATCGTCAAACAGAGCTGCCCAGCAAACCGCATATAATATATTTTTTCCGCATGAGGTCCGAAACAGAACGCATTAGGAGTGCTCTCAATTTCGCTTGTAGTGCCCGTGTCACTTACCTCATCGTTTGCCAAAAGCTCTTTCAAGGCACTGCTGATCTGGTTAACCTTCATGTTGAAGCGCAGAAGCCGATTTCTCAATCGCAGCAACCTTCGCTGATCGTCTATGAACACTTCTTGCCCCTCTGCCTTCACAAATAATCCCAACACCTGCAGTGCACCGAGCAATAATTGTTGTTGTCAACAAACCACTCATCCGTCTATGAACACTTCTTGCCCCTCTGCCTTCACAAATAATCCCAACAACTTCAGCTGGTAGGATGAAAAACACTCAGCAAGAAAAGAGGGAGAACGCTAGTCCAAACAACGATGACAGATTTAGAAAGTCCAACAGACATCATTCTGTTCTCATCAAATCAAAATCAAATCAAAATCAAATCAAAATCAAAATTAAATCAAATCATTCTAAGCTCTACTCAACTCTTATCAATCAAATTTCTAATCAATCTAATCAAACCCCGATCAAAGCCCAATCACTCCCAATCAATCCAAATCAATCCCATCAAACCCCATTAATCCAGAAAATCCCAAACCTTACAGCAAATCCCAAAAATCCAATTAACCCAATCGGTTCAATCCAATCAATCAGATCACCCCAGTGAATCAAATCCCTCAAATCCCTCGAATCAATCAAATCAATCAAATCTCTCAAATCAATCAATCAATCAATCAATCAGACATCAGCAACTAGGACGCAAGTGGGTCTCCATTGAGGGTTTGAACCTGGTCACTTACCTCCGCAACCTCGGGACCGAGCTCGACATAACCCAGCTTTAACCCATGGACAACGTTTTCCAACATACATTCCAGCATCCGCATCTCAAAGGGGGGCTGAGAAGCTGAGCGTTTCAGCCATGCAGCTTCGTGCCTGGCGACCCCTCCAGCCCCAGCAGCTGCCTCGACCGCGCTTCTAGCCGCGGAATCAGAGCCACTTGCACGGCCGGCTTCATGGACGCTGCCTGCTGTTCCGGACTCCCTGCTATTCGTTGCCTGATCACCTGTCTCCAACAAGCGAGCCTGCAGCAAACCGTCAGGTCAGAGCACCTGCAATGC